TATATAGGTACTACGTTTACAGCTAGACTAAATAATTATCTTTTATGTACAGTATGTTTGCAGCTAATCCGATCCACAAGCGAGATTCCCGTTTAGCAGCGTTCATCGTGATGGTTGTTGTTCTTGTTCTTGTTGTTTGTGATTGTGATTGTGATTGTGTTAACCGGTTTTCATGACATCCACCTCCAACATTGTTGTCTTTAGCGAGCTACTCGACACGCCCCCATTGTCAACGACGCCCATGCTGCGATAGAGCTTGTGCACCACATTGAATATGATGAAGCTAACGATCAGCACCAGCAGCGACATGAACGCGTAGGCCAGCACCAGCGGCGTGTCCGATATGGGATCCAGCATTATGTCGAAATGGCTTCCAAAACAAGAAATAACTTTTGAGTTCTATGTTTGTTTTGCTTATGCTTTTGATTTTGATTTTTTTCTGCTCTGTCTGACAAGCCAAGCAGAGAGAGAGAGAGAGAGAGAGCGGCGTAAAGAGAGAGCGAACTGAAGTGAAACGCGTATGCTAATTAAATGTCGCGCACACGTCTATATATATGTATGTATATGTATATATATATACGTCCATTTACACAGCCACACATATATACATGTCTGTTTGTATACTTCTATATATTTCTGTTTGATTCGCTGCTGCCGACTTGCTGTACCGTATGCATTGACACCTGCGCCTCAACTGGCCCGCGCGTGTGCCGAACTTCGTATAGAACTTTGTCGTTACGTATACGTCGCGTAGAACGTGGCTTCGCTCTCTCTCTCTCTCTGTATCTCCCGCTCTCTTATTCTCTATTATGATGAATCTAAACTTGTTTATGGATCGCTCTGGGGCAGGGGCAGAGTTCGGAGCAGCGCGCTTCTTACATTAACCAGGGTCAGTTTGAAGTGTTTCGCATCCAATCACCCGGTTTATAAATATATACATTTATTTTTATAATTCTTATTTCAGCTACAAAACTAGTTGGAATTGGTTCTAGGCCGAGTTAGTCGCTTGACATTTGGATACTCTGTACAAACGGGTACAAAGTGCGCCCGTTTCCATTGTTTTAGATATTATTATCATAACAGTATAATTATAATGGATACTGCACTCGGTTCTTTATATATACATATATACATATATACAGAATGGAGACGCATGAGCTATATATAGATCAGCTATATGTATCTGGAAATGCGTTGCATCTGAGCATCTAGAGCTTTCATAGAAGTCTGCTGCATTCGATGATCTATATATAAATATTTATTTTTAT